TACTTCAGCCACCACCACCACCACAACATAAAACACCACCACCACCACCACCACCTCCTCCACCAAACAAAGCACGGCCACCACCCCAACCGCAGATCCACCACCACAGACGCCACCACACAAAATATCTCAGATCACATCAGATCCCCTGCCAAGAAAACCACCGCAAAATCACAATCAACAATAATACAAAAGTTACCACCACCGAAAAAACCACACACATCCAGCAATACACAAATTCGCCACCAACACAGCAAACAACAACCAACCACAAACAACAGCCACACACAGATCCGCCTCACATCCACAGATCTGCCGCCTCGCGGATTCCTCAACATCGATCCACACAAACCACCGTCGAGCTACACACCTATTTCACTGCAATTTCGTCATCCACCGACTCAGCGGCAATTTCGTCGTCTACCGACTCAGCCAAACACTGTAATTTCGTCGTCTAAACGACTCAACCACCGACTTACTGTAATTTCGTCATCCACCGACTCAGCCAAACGTTGCTGACTGGCAGCAGCAACAGCGTCGCAGACGATGCTGCCACACTGGCAGCAATGCTCGCAGCTGCTGAACACAACGTCGCGCTGCTGGACACTAGCAGCTTTGCTGCGATGCGACACTGGCAGCAGTTGTTGAACATGAAGGGAAGGGGAAAAAAGAAAAAATTAGGGGGCAAGAAAGAAAAAATTAGGGTGGAGGGAGGAGAAGAGACGGAAGAGAGAGTAGGAGAAAGAAAAATGACTAGGGTTTGGAAATAAATGAGGGTTATCAATTAGGTTTTAATATGATACTTGATTTTTGAATAAATAAATTGTTGATCTGATTTTTAAAAAATAATCTTTAAACATCTGATTTTTTTATAATTTCCGTATTTGTAATTTGTCCAATTGCCCCATTTATCAACCTACAGAAACTTCTTCGGAACTGCAACAGTTGAAGCCCAAAAAGGTTAAATGATCAAGGCCCACTTCAAGCTCAAAAGGTTAGCTCATTTATGCCCGAAGCGGAGCCCATATATATGGTACACGATTTAATCGGGTCATTGTCCATTAAAAATCTTAAAGAATAAATGTAGAATTACTACAAATTATTAGTATGATACAAGTTTACCATACTCCACCTGAATCGACAAGATGATCCATTGTCTAGATAGGTCAACTATTCAACAGGAGAACAAAAAAAAAAATTTAATTAAAATATTTTTGAGTATGTTCATGTTAGGAAAATTAAAAAGAGTAAATTTCGAGTTTCGACCCAAATAGAGTGTAACGTCTATAAGCTGGTCTAGAAGTTACCGTTCTCTATGCATGTAACTTTTATTGTCACAAATCGATCAACAACACTAATCTCTTATTCTATTTATTAATAAACAAGAAAGAATGTCATAAATTACAGTTATGTTCTAACTCTATTGGGCACAAAATCCAACAATTATTTCTTCTATAATCTTTTAACAATGTTTTATCTTTCTTTTTAACGGTTTCAGTTTTTAGAAAAAGTGTTCTAAAGTTCTCGACCTCAAATCTCACTGCAACTCATTTATAAACATTAATTCTAATTGTTGTGTCTATATTTTGATGACATAAAAGGATCGTGCGTATTGAAAATATTTTAGAATGATAAAACAAAACTTTAGCCCACTAGCTAAAAATCATGTTTTTAATATATTTTGATGAAAGTTGATGAAATATGTAGTTAAAAAATTGTGAATCTTATAAAATATGTTGTTAAAACTAAAATACCAAAAAGGTATTTAACGGTATGAATGATGAGACTAATATTTTAATAAAAGTATTGAAAATTATTGCAAGAATCATTTTGTATATTTTTTGTTGGATTGCGCCAAAAAAATCCCTCATTCATTTTTTGATGCTTCTTTTTGAAGCTGCTATATTACTCGGGACCCTGATTGCCTTTGACACTTTAGCCTACACTTATTGAATTTGGCACCACAAAATTATTGAATGGCTCAGCTGTTTCAGCCATCCAGAATCCCAGATGGTCAATAAACGCCATTGAGACAGATGATAATACATTAAACTTAAAGTGTCACACAGTGGAAAACAAAGTGAGAAATAATTGCATCAGAGTGATAGAAAAATAAAGAAAGAAAGATGATACATAATTTAGAATTTTTGGGTGTTGCGAAAATCGAGTCTTTTATTTCTTTAATTTTGGTAATTAAAGAACAAATCTATCCATTTTAGCCGCATAAATTTTTAGATGAGACACTTTGACATAGTGTTAGAGCAAATAATGTTTTAGTTTCAACCGCTCATTTATAAAAATCTTGCACGAGTATTAGGTTTTATCTGCAACCTTTCTCAAATAAAGACGCCTTTTGCACGCCTTCACGGCTTTATTTGCCATTACACGAATACTTATTGATCATATTGAGGAATTGTAGCATCCTTGGTGCCTTGGCTAGTTCCTCCGCGTCGAGACGCCAATATGAGAATCTTCAACACATATCAATCCTTCAATTTGAGACCCTTTAACATAGAGCTAGAGAAAAAAAAAAATTGGTGTCGATTACTCATTTACAAAATCATGCACGAGTATCAGGTTTTAGATGAGATATTTCAATGGATATATATTCAATTTGCTAATACAAAAAGCTTGATGCCATCATTTCTTAATTGTTTGGTATGATCCTCAGTATAATTAGCTGTCAAAATACTCAAAACAGAAAAAAGTAGATTTTTTTCGGCTGATGAAGAATTTATCAGAAGTTTTCAAACAAAAGTTGTCACCTTTTCAATCTTTATATGTACAATATTTTCTTATCTATAATAAACGTTATCTTCTTGTCTGCTGCTTTCTGAGGTTTGCTTGAGACACAGGCCAACTGCTTAAATGGCATATTACTTAGTTAATAAAAATGATTTTGCTACTTGTACATATGATGACGAGGAGGGAAAATATTGGATGAAAGGGTGATTGTATTTTAAATTGAGAGTCTCATGTAATATTATGTAATCCATTGTATAAATCTTGTAGCAAGATCCGAATGAAAATATTAACTATACCCGCCTACTCGACTATCCGACCTACTTGATTGGGTCAAGTTGACACAAACCATGCGCCAATATTTGGTCTTGTTTCGGGAGGTCAGCACATATCAACTTTGAGTCATGAAATATTGACGAATAAACGAGAAAAACGTCTCTTCTAAAAAGTTATAAAATAAGACTGTTTTCCATTTTCACACGCTATTTGATTTTGATCCTACTTTAAAATTTTCTGTGAAGTTATCCAAAACACCCTTTAAAAATTAAAAGCATTAAAGCCAAAAGTAAACACATGCCATAGTCATATATTTAACTGTATTTGCAACTTTTTTATTAATTAATATGTCAATTTGCACTAAGATACCGGTCAGTTATAATTAATTTATTATGATCCTCAAGATTATTGGCAGCAATTTCAGTGGAGATCATGTGACAAAAGGGCATGCATTATCAATTATAAATTGCATCAAAAGGTTTTGGAAATGACGACTGATTGAAGTGTTTCTTCGTTTTGTTTGTTATCTTTGTTTTCTTCCCTTTCTTTAAATATATTGTGGTAATCCGATACAGAATTCTTTTTATCCAAATTCGCAGTGGAAATGCATTATCATAGTGGTAGAACACAATAAACAGCTCAAAAGTTGAATTCTAAATCAGTGTTTTCTTTTTTCAAGTATAAAAATTAGATGTTGATTCTTCATTAAGATTCATCTTAGCAATTTTTTAGATTCAGTTGCGTAGAGGCACAAGATGAATCTTCGAAGGTATGGAGAAAGACCCAAAAGAAGTCGTAGTCTCTAAGCAATTGTAATGGCCAAGAAAATCTACTGTAAGCTTTTAAAACAGTGACTTCTGACGTGTAGAAGAGTTATGTCCTGATGGCACATGAGAGCCTTTGTGATTTGTGATTACACTTGAGGGATTCAGAGGACGTGGAACAAAGGACTTGGGGCTAAGGGTAAATTTCACGTCGAAAAAAGATGAAAAAATACACAAATTTAAATTAATGTCTAATTTTGACTGAATCTATAAATTGTTGTTGGAATGGAGGCTTAATCTTTTACGGCTTTCGTTATCATAGAATTATTATGTTGTTTGTGGTTATTTTTTGCATATACTGTGTGGTACAACAAGTGGCAATTGCTTTCTTTATATGCTTTTCCAAAAGATTGGATAGCTGCGTTAACTAAAAGGTGAGGGACCCTAATTCCTTGACTTTCTTGACTTGGAAGAGCCATAATGACAGAGCAAAATGAAGTATAATTGACAAATTAACCACCATAATGGAGAAAAGTAAGAAAAAAAAAAACTAAGACTAAAACCGTTGAAGATTAACTATTATGGATTATTTTCCAGAAGATACGATGATCATTCTTCTTATACTCAATAAAGAAATTTAAAAATATCGTGGTTCAATGGTGAATCTGTTAGTAGTAAAGACACAATTTTTATTTCATATTTAAGCTCCAAATACTATAGTGAATTCGATATATTTCACTCTAGTAGCTAACAGACAAATTTATTTATTTAAATTTTCTTTCCAATTTAGAGTAACTAAATCACTTTGTGTATTTTGTACTTTCACCGGAGAAAAAGAAATGAATTCTTGAATATGTAGGAATTTCCTCAGACAGACAGGAGCAGTTTAGTTGGCTTGTGACAACATGAATTAGCATATTTATTAAGGTTGTTTATTTTAGTACATCGGTTAAACTCGTTTAAGTTTTAGCATATTTGTTTACTCTACTGCAGTAAAATTGTTTCATTAAGAATCTAAGATCTAACCAAAGCAGGTTATGGAGCTGGACTTTTAATTTCTATCAAAATTACTGTGACAGTAAATTTTATCGACTTTGTTTATTGATGTATATGAGCACAGAAGTACAGATTTTGCTGCCTGTGGTTTTTTATTTTTTATTTTTGATTTCTTATCCCAAAATCTTATTTTTCTTTTTTAATTGTAATTGAAAATTCGAAGTGGCTGTGCAGGCCACGTCAAGAGTGGGTTAGTTAAGGTGAACTAAAAAGAGTAGATATTGGTAAATATGATAAGTGGGATTTTATATAAAAGTGATGACATTTGCAATGAGTGATTCTTACCAAAAGCAGTCACTTTCTTTACAATTATATATTCAGAATCATCAGTTTTTGTGGTCTCATACTTTAGGCCATTGGGTTAACTTCGCCTCCATGCACTGTGGGATCTAATCAAGAATATAATGAGAGACTCTGATTGAGAATTTTCAGAACTTCATTATTTGTAGCGTCTGTCTTCAGAGCTTGCTTTCTAACCGAGAAACAAAGTTCAAGTATTCAACTTATGAGAACCGTATGGTCTCTTCACCCTTATTTCCATTGTTTTTAACTTATTCGTGTCATCATTTCAAGTATTTTCTTGTAATATTTCTTGATACTATATAAAGTGAAATTATCTCTATGGTTTTGGTGTGTATGTGTACAAACAGAAAAATTACTTTTCTTTGCAATATTAGTAATTAAAACAAAGTGAACTTCTAGTTTCGTGATATAAGGAAGTTTGCGTGCAAAAATTGCATGGAATATGTGACAAGATCATGATGTCTTTTATCTCTTACGGCTTTCTTGGGGTTTCATTTTGAGAGAGGACAGTGGCTACTGTAATTGCTTTGGTTAGGCTCGCAGTCACTAACTTGCTGAATTTTATACTCTTTAACACTAGAAATTAGTTGCCATAAGCCTTCAATAAGCAAAACAAGATTAATTTTTCCGGGGCTCAAATGCGAATTCACATGTTTCTTACTAATCTGCTTCTTTTTCCGAGTTTGTGGAGCAATATCTAGTTAGCTAGCTCTCTCATGGACTGCATTATTCTGATAACATACAAATAAATGGCTTCTTTTTCTTTTTTCTATTTTGGGAAAAGATAAACAGCTTCTTTTATGATGACTTTGCAAGCAGCCTCAGAATAAATTCCTGTTCATTCTTAGAATATCAAACAATTTTTTGTACTAATACTTAGCCCCTGTTTGGTTTGGATAAAAATAAGATTTTCAGTAGATTTTGTTAAAAGTTGATGAAAACATGTGGCTGAAAAGTTGATAACAGTTGTGAATGTGTGGTTGTAAATGAGTTTGGGAAAAAAATAAGTTTCAAAAAATTGGGGCTGAACAGGGGATTAATTTCTCTCCTCTTGCTTGTAAAAACCATATTTTCTATGTTCTATTTATAACTGAAAAAACTGGGATATTACTTTTTTCATTTGCTTTTGATGACCAGAAAACTGTTCATATCTTTGGTTAAATGCTGTTATGTGGTATTATTGGTTTGTGTTTGTAATTCTTAGTTTCTTTTTATGTCATTAAAAAACATTTTCTTGTACTTGCATTGTCTTTCTAGCTTGTTATTTAGTTATGCTGTCTTTTTATTTGATCCATTTATGCAATGTAGCAATTTCTTTTTCCTTTTTGTTCAACAGATCATTGATATGATTACTCCAACAACTCAATTTACCTCCTCAAGCACTATGGGTGTACATGAACCAATCCACCAAATTAGCATGTGGGATGACACATTTGGAGGTAACATTAATCCCAATACAGATGTGTGTATGATCACACAGGCAGATGCAAAGCTAGATGACATGGTAAAGCGTCTTCAGTCCTTTGGATTCTAAACTTTAGGATTGACGTTATTCTCTTACAGGATTTTCTCGTATTTTATTACAGTGTGAGTATGCTTCTTATAGATCTCAGGAAGCTTCTGGGGATAACCAAACAGCCAAGAGTATTAGCGATAAGGTGGTACGAGTCTAGTTGTTGAAAATCTGAAGTTCTTGAATATTAAAGATCTAAATTGAATCTTCAATTGGCTATCTAATCACAGGTACTTAGACGTTTGGCACAAAATCGTGAAGCTGCTAGGAAAAGCCGTTTGCGAAAGAAGGTATAGAAAAGCTCCAGCCCGTGATACATTTTTTCTTATTGCAGCATGTTTGGAATTTTTCAGTTTAATTTCTTACTAATCTATTCTTTTACAGGAGTATGTTAAGCAACTGGAATCAAGCCGTTTGAAGCTGGCACAACTTGAGCTAGAACTTGAAAGAGCTAGGCATCAGGTTAGATAAATTATCTTTCCTTGTTTACTCCGTGTCTAGATTGTGTATCAGCTTCACATGCATTGCGATTTGTTCATAATCTGACATGTCAGCCGATGACTAATTGCAGGGCTTGTTTTTTGGGGGCACAACTGCTAATATGGGATTATGTGGAAGTGTAAATTCTGGTACGTCCAATTTGTTTGGCATAGCATAAAGCCCCATTATCACCATGATATGTATAGGCTTTTACGATTCGTGAAGTGTTCTGAGTTTTCATATTACACCCATCCATGTGGTAAACTTGAGGTTGCTTTGCGTTGGATTACAATCCTGGGATGAATATGCAGGAATTGCTGTGTTTGAGATGGAATACGGGCATTGGATGGAAGTGCAACGACAGAAAAATTCTGAGATTAGAAATGTTTTGCAGTCTCCAGTCGGTGATGAGGAACTCCGTCTGCTGATAGAGGATGTATTAGAACACTATTGCAATCTCTTTCGCATGAAAAGAGATGCCGCCAGAGCTGATTCCTTCTACTTAGCCTTCGGCATGTGGACAACACCGGTCGAGCAGTTTTTCCTTTGGATTGGAGGATTCCAACCATCAGAGCTTATCAACGTAAGCTTTGATATGTAATCTTCCTACCTATAGTTATCTAATTAACTCTTAAACATCAACAAATGTACAAAGTCAATCTCATCATACAGTGGGGGGTGTTAATGGGGCCAAGTCGAGCAAGAGCTAGCTCGCTTCACCAAATGTGAACTCGGCTCGCGAGCTGCGCCTAGCCAATTTTTTTATTTTTTTTACTGAATATTTCATTACATCATATATGACGAGCAGTTCGCACGAGAAATTGCTGCTTGGCTTGCTAGTGGAGCAAGTCGCTTGTCCCACTTAACACCCTCCTCATAGAGACTTTAGACCTCGTATAAATGCAAAAAAAAATTGCTTAAATTGAGTGTGAAAAATATTTTTTGCTTAATAGGTTGTGCTGCCTCAACTTGAGGACTTGACAGAACAGCAAAAGGGAGAAGTCTGTAACCTGCAACATTCTTGTCAACAAGCCGAGGAGGCTCTCTCACAAGGAATCAATAAGCTTCGAGAGACTCTAGCACAGAGCATAACAACTCTGGTCGGTGGAGCAGGAAGTTACAGTTCTAAAGTGGTTTCTACTACGGAGAAGTTGAAATCACTGGAAGGCTTTATACAACAGGTACTATTTTACTTTTTATCGTCAAGTGCGATTACCCCACTCCAACTTCTGTTGATGTTTCATGGCCTTCAAGCTCTGTTCATTTCCTATAAGACTTTGAGTTGGAATGTTTATACCTATTCCATTTCTCGATCAGAATGATTGTTGGTTTTCATAATTTTAATCAGAAAGCAAGACAATGTGGCCATCTTTGTCGTAGGACAGGTGTGTGCTAACGAAGAACTCAATTTGGAGTTTGGCTGTGTAATAACTGGCAGTGCATTTAGTGAACAGATTTGCAGAAAAACTTTTAAACTGCTTCCTTACATTGAATTGCATTGTAGTCCATAGAATATGCTATGTTGCAGCTCCCTAATATATAGCTGATGAATTAGAATAGCCCCGATGGGCTTCTGCACATCTATAGACTTTTATAACATTTTGGGATACTTGGTTTTACAGCCCGACCTAACCCAATATACATCTCTAGTTTTATTGCTTCTGGTGCATGTAAACAAGTTAACCTATGTGCTTCCAATTGCTTGATTTCACCACAGGCAGATCATCTTCGGGAGCAAACTCTGAGAAGAATGTCCTTCATTCTAACAACACGACAAGCAGCAAAGGGGTTGCTCGCTTTTGGGGAGTACTTTCAATGTCTGCGAGATATTGGTTCGCTCTGGGCTGCTAGTCCTCGGAAGACCTACCGTAGATCGTAATTTATCCTAGTTGCTATGGATAATGCCAGAGTTGTAAATGTAATATGTTGTCATAATTTTGCTTAGACATGATTGATTATCAGTAATTGTACTGTGGACACGTCTTCTTAAGTTTGAATATTGTACATATAAACTACAAATTGAGTCCAATGTTATACTTGCTTAAGCTAGCTGTTAGAAAAGATCTACCAACTCCATCCCTTGGTCAAAGTAAAACATATCAGCCTTGTTGCAAGCAAAATCTTTGGATTTTCAGATGGTGAAAGTTGAAAGGAAGCTTCCATAGATAATTGCAAAAACTATAGAGAGAGAGGCAGAAAAAGATTATCAAGAACTGGGAATCTTCAGTCCAGTCGAGGGTTAGTAAACAGTTCAGTATTGATCAATCATTAGTTGAGAAACCTTGTCCAAACACCTAAGCTTCTAGACAAGGCAATTCAACATAGTATAACATCATTTGAGGTCCTCAATTCAAGTCTTGCTAATGGGGCATTTTGAAGACTTTCTAAGTCTTCAGCACTTTAAGCTTTTAGACGAGATGGAAGCTCTTGAATTCGAATCCCTTTTTCATCCTGGTAGTGCAGGCTTAGAGCATCAAGTGTTGCAACTGCAGACCACAAATAATTGGCCGGAAAGGCAAAGGTATATTCAACATAACTTTTGCTATTTTTTTTTTTTCCAAGTTTTCAAGGCATTGGCTAACCAAATATTTTATGATAAATGATGCTTGACATTAAATTAGAATGCTGTCATTAATAATAATTAAAATTCAGTTTCAAGAAAACAAAATGTAAGAGTTTCCGAATTCCGATACTTATAGTGACACGGTGATAAGATGAAGGAAGATAATTGGCAGATTCAAAGTTGTTGGGAAATGCTTTACGACAGCTTTTTCTTCACTTTTTTTTCCTCTGCGTCTTTTTTTATCAAAACTTTGGTGGAATAATAAGTTTCTTTAAATTTTCAATTTTAAGTTCTTCAGATAATTAAACAGAATCAAAATATTCGTGTTTAAACCAGAAGTTGCAAAAGTTTTTATGCCCATTTATATCTTGTCTGTCAACTGGAAATAGAGATGAGGATTTTATACTTAAATGATCCTCACCAAGATACCAACTTTGATGAACCAGTTCGGCTGCATTTATGACACATTTGGTGCGTTAGACTCGACAACGTGGGATGTTTTTGCCCTCAGATATAACTTTAGGAAGTGTTCAATACTTCATGTCAATTATGCATGTACTAATTTCTTTGATAGACATAGTTAATTTAAGAGGTTTGAGAACATAAAAAAAAACTAGGCCAAGAATATGGATTGATGGAAATGTTCTCCTACCCACCTTGGGAAGTCTTATTTTGTCCATTTAAAAAGAACCTCATTTACGGTTCTCACATTTGGAGAGAACCGTAAGTAAGGTTCTCCTGTCATATCAGTAAGTAGATAGTCTTATCTTGCTCACTGTTGGCAGGAGAACAATTTCATATGGATGAATGCTAGTATAGCCAAGGAATCATATAATGCAGTAATTGTGCCCCACAACAAATTCTCGGGCCAACCCAAAACAAAACATTTGACTCTATTCTTCTATTTCTTTTCCACAGAACAAACTCAAATAAATAAATAATAATAATTCTCGACATGTCTATACGACTATACCTTCTATGTTCTTCTCTTTAACGCACACTACTCTCTCCCCCCTCGTTACAAAGTCAATGTATGTGCCCGTGTTACCTTGGTAGACTTCAATAAAAAAATCTAGGGTCAGCAAAGACGGCTCTGAGGATGCACAAGTGGTGCTATAGCACAAAACCTCAGGATTGGCCCATTGGGGCACAAAAAAAAAATTTATATACTAATTTTAAAATTTTATTATTATATTAGTTAAAGAACACAATATTTATAAGAAAAGGGGAATCCATTTTGAAATGTCATACAGGATACTCAAAATCTTAAGTTAGATTGATAGTCAACTCTCTGTCTTTCTCTCACACACACGGCATTAGGTTAAAGTCATTCGAGGTTGTCGTGGGGAACTTTTGAAGTTGGAGAGTTCTTCAATCTCTGTTTAACTAAACTTATTCTTAGTTTCTGAGTATAATTTTCCTCAATATTACTTCATTTCGTTTCCCTCAAAATTCACTTTGCAAGTAAAATTTTCGCTTAGTTCAAGCTTAACTTCAGTTGTTTTAAGCTTCAAATTTTCTGCCTGTAATTTTCTAGAAGCTCATTATTTTTTTAATTTTTTCCCCTTTTATTTTTCGAAAGGAAAATAAATATATATATTTTTCTGGATTATTGTTAAGAAATGATTTAACGGAACGGATTCGGAGAAGATATAACGGCCTTATGATTTTGGCAGGTTAACTGTGTCACGGTGTCGGGTTGTCGTACATATGGAGGGGATTCTTAACCATGCTCCACTAACGTGCGCCAGGGAGACTCTTTCCTCCTCCTCCTCCTCCTCCTCCTCTCGTCAAAGCTCACCACCTTTACTCGGCTCAAGTAAGCGAATTTATACCTTTAAATGTCATGTCAAGATTGATTTTACTTAAAAAGAACTAAATTATCGAACGTAAAAGTCATTTGGCAAGACTTATTTTTTGCTTCGAGACTATAAGATATATATTTGTCCTTGTACTTTTTGTAAAAAAGTTTCCTAAAAAAATTACTAAAAGTTCTTTTAATCAAACAAAACACTTTCAAAAAATTATTCAAAAATGTAAAAAAATAATTTCTTAATCAAAAATACAAATGTTGACATTTCAAAAGTCGTGCTTTTAGGTTAACATTTTTCTGAAAACTCTTTTAGCCAAACTTCATATAATTTTTAGGGGTGGAATTTGTGGCGTCAATCTAGAGTTTATCATTTTCTAATTTCTTCTTTAGTCGAGTGTGAGAGATTATATTTGATCTACTAGAAGTAGAAGAGAAATTAGTAACAAGTTAGCAAATCGAATATTCAAGTTTTCTTTCCCCTTTAATTCTATCAAAAAAATTGATTTACTTTTCATAATACGGCATGGTGTCAACTGTCATATTCAATGTTATCATGCATCTAGTGCTAGTTTCCTCTTCTCGGAACCTAGGGGTAGCAAACGGGTCAAGCGGCTCGTCGACTCAACCGCTCGCCTCGTGGGCTCGGCTTATTCTTGTGGCTAGCCATCTATAATGACCAAAACAGTCACTTTTTAAAATCGGGTGACTGTTTTGGTCACTGAACAATAAAATGTGGCCGTTTGGCCCTTGTAATTTTTTTCCTTCTTTATTATTATTATTATTATTATTATTATTTATTCACTCTATAAATACCATATCAATTTAACATTTTCTTCACACAACAACAACAACAACATCAACAATTCTTACTCTCTTCCCCATTCTACTCTCTACATTCTATTTCTAGTTTCTACTTTCAATTTCAATATTCTTACATCTTACTCTCTTCACATACTCTTATTTACTTACTTTACTATGCATAATACACAATACACTCTCTACATAATATTTTATTCATATTGTCCAATTTACATTCTACATGGCTACAAATAACAATTATCCAAACAATATTTGCCCCTTCTTGGATTGAATTTGATGCTTAAAGGGATATTAACAAATGGTTTGTAGGATTAATCAAGCCTTGCAATAGAAAAACACTTAAACACACAGTGTTTTCTACCAAATCTTCAAGAAATACATTTAAATATGAAAGAATGAATATAAATTCTATCTTTTGGATTGAAAATTTGATCTCAAGTTGTTTAAATTATATTCTCTTATGTTATAGATTTCAATCAATGTCCACGAAATAGTGCCTAAAAATATGAAAAGTTGCAAGTTTTTCACCAAAGACCACCAAGAATTCAAACAAAAAATAATCTTGACGGCTAGTTCCATGCAACCGCATAGAATAAACCTATACGGTCGCATAGGTTGATCATTTGCAGGGCACATAACTTCATGCGATCTGATAAGTGTAGTTTATACACTTATTCGTGACTCTAAATCATGATATTTTATTGTTTTTTAGATTAAATTCTACCTAATTTATGTTATATTGTGTTTTGTAGGTAAAATTTTATATTTAATGAAGAATTGGAGAAAAGAATGCAAAAGTGGCGAAAAATGGCAAAAGTTAAATATGAAACCTTGATGAGAAATATTATATTAAATGTGTTCGAGATAAATGAGTCTCAATAGACTTGTATTGAAA